GATTGGGGACGGGGGCTGCTTCTGCTTTCACTATCTTTGTATTTTTCATCTGGAAGGGGTAATAAAGGAATAGCGAAAGACGAATAAAACATGAGGAGAAAACAGACTGACGGTCACTCAGAAAACCCATTTCAAAATAAATACGAAGGGAGTAGAGGTTCTGTTTGTGGCAAAAATCACTCGACAAAAAATTTGGTGTGCCACCTGCGTTGCGCACACGTATTTGACAATCAGTGAAAGTACGCCATGAACACAGAAAACGAGCGAACTCTTAAGTGTGAGACGCAATTATTGTCGCGCACTCTTGTTTGTGGAGCACCCGGACGCTTTCGAAACTCCTTTCCGAAGGGCCAGAGTGTCGGGGGCGTGGGGCCGGGCCGGTGGAGCAGTGTGACCTCGAGGAATGGACCCTTAGCCGTGCCATGAACACCCACCCCGCTCAGCCCCGCTCTGTGGTTTCCAAATAATCTGCTGGGCGTGTCGCGGCGTTGCGGGGCGGGGCGTGGCGGAGCGTGGCGTGGCGGGGCATGGCGGGGCGTGGCGGGGCGTGTCGCAGAGTAGTGGGGACGCAGACGGCGGGGGTCGGGCTCAGAGGTCAGGCGGGGCCGTCACCGAGGGTTAATAGGTGACTTTATGGAAGTATGGGCCTGGAACGAGAGAGAGAGAGAGAGAGAGAGAGAGAGAGAGGGGGGGGGAGGGAGCAGAGGAGGGGTGGCAGGGCCCGGTCGGGTCAGAGGTACAGAGAGGTGGCGTGCCGTGGCGGCGCGCGGCGTTGTGGTTGGACCACATTCCAGCGAGGCGATCCCAAGAAGGGGCTGCGTTCGTTTGCCCCCCCCCCTCCCCCCACCACCACTACCACCAACCCAACGTGCGCGCAGTGGTAGCCGGAGGTCCAACTCACTGGTGAAAAGTGAAAAGGGGCGTAGGTCCAATGCTAAGTCCGTGGACTTACGCCCTTCTCACCAGTTAACTCTTTCCCCCTCCCCCACCTCGCTCTCCCGGTCCACTTATTTTAATTACATCTCGTCCTGTCCAGCCTCTCGCTCCTTTGGTCCAGCAGGGGCCTCTGCAAGAGCGCCACACGTCCCTCGCCAGCAGGATATTAATTTCCCCAGCCACCCATGCAAGGGATATCAATTCCAGCGCGGCAGCAGCGTGTGCGGATGCGGTGGGGCGGGGG